CACCGAGCCACCATGCCTTCCGGCTCCTTGAAGTTAAGGAACCACGTCAGGGAGGCGTGAACTGTTCGGACCAGAAACGGCCGGCCGATCAGATAGTGACGGAAATGCTTGGCAAACGTTACGACAGCTAACAACTCGCGATTCGTAGTGCAATACCGTCGCTGAGTTGGACCGAACGTCTTACTGGCATAGGCTATAACCTTCTCATCTTCATCTTGGACCTGAGACAGAACAGCGCCCATAGCTGATGCACTAGCATCGGTGTCCAGTATAAACTCCCCATTTCCCTGTGGATATGCAAGTACCGGAGCAGAGGTGAGTTGCCGTTTTAACGTATTGAAGGCCTCCTCACATTTCTCTGACCACCGAAAACCGACACCTTTCCGGGTAAGCTGCGTCAGTGGGTGCGCGGTAGTAGCAAAGCCTGAGATGAATCGCCGATAATAATTCGCGAATCCCAGGAAGCTCTGCAACAGATCGCGGCACCTCCCACTGTCCTACCGCTTTGACCTTCTCCGGATCACAATGGACGCCACCGGCCGTCACAACATGTCCGAGATACGAGGCACTTTTCCGGAATAGCGAGCACTTTGTCGGTTTGAGCTTTAAGCCGGCATTCGCCAATCGGTCTAACACATAGTGGAGGTTGGCCAACGCCTTCTCAAATGACTGACTGAAAATGATCACATCATCGAGGTAGACCAAACACTCCGTCCATTGCAAGCCACGAAGGACCAGATCCATCAACCGCTCGAAGGTCGCTGGACTGTTGCATAACCCGAAGGGCATAACCTTATAAAACAAACCCTGACGGGTACTAAACGCCGTTTTGGAAGCATCCTTTGAGTCCATCTCAACCTGCCAATACCCGCTCGTCAGATCGATTGTGGAAAACCACTGGGCACCGGCCAGGGAATCCAACGTATCGTCGATCCTTGGAAAGGGGTACGCATCCTTGATGGTAACCTCAATCATACAGTGGTAGTCTACACAAAACTGGGTGCT